CCATCCCAGAGAACTGTAGCTCAGTTGATTAGCCATTACGGTTGTTTACTGTAAAATAAAGTAAAAATAACTCTGAAACAATCTAATTTAAAATAGTTTGTTTATTTAGAATATATTTATGTTTATTTTCTTCATCAGTGTGTATGAGTGTTATAATAGACGTTTTTACATGAATAGCTCTTTCAGTGATTTAACCATTAAATTATTGATAGGTATTTATCTTTCAAAACAAAATCAAGGTTGCATCACACAGAAAAGGAACTAACAATTACCTTAATTCCACGAACTTTAAACTTCGCCCAAACTGGTGGACTGATGGGAAAGAATGTCCACTTAAAAGGCCAGATGGACTTCAAAGTTTGTAGCAGCCAACCACAGAGGAAGTTCTGCTTTGCTTAGACGGTAGGATACTGACGATCTTAAGTCCCATTTCTTCTCTTTTTATTGGAAGTTTGTTTAAGTCGCTTAGCCGTGATTGGCTGAAATATACCATTAGAGGGTTTCTCTCTCTACACTGAAAACAACACAACAACAAAAAAAGCACGTTGATATGTCAAAACTAATATAGAAGGAGCTTAGTTCTTCTTTACCTGAGTGTTCAACCAATCACCTTATATCAGAGTCAAGAAAATGCTTACGTCAGTGAACATAATCAATTATTGTCTTTACTCTGTATGCTAAATCCGTTTAGCTTCCAGTATGCTGATTTCGTCTTTTTTTGAATTAGTAGTACACTGTTTGAGGCGAACTACTACCAGAAGAAACGTCTAAGATGGTACAATTTACAATTGGATAATGTTTTTTAATATAACGTTATTATGAATGTTACCCAACTCACAAAATCTGGTAACTGATTATTAGGTTTCTATTCGGTACTATGAGTTATTATGTTTTGAGAAAGGGGCGTTTCACATATGATTCCATAGGATCGTGTGGTTTCAGTTTAAATTCATAACTCTAACTGAAAGTGAACTAAAATAGGAATATATGTTTATTTCACATTTTTTGAAGTCATAAAAACTTACTGGGCATCAAACTGCGTCAAAAAATCAGACTCGGAAAGTAAGTGAAAAATAACTTAAAACTAGAGTTCTTGAATATATCGAATAAAAGTCAGATACATATATATTTAGCTTTCATAAAGGACACTCTGTAAATTAGAATTTGACTAATTTCACATGATTTACTATGAACTTAACGACTGAACGTTTGAACTATTCGTTATATCAAGTACATCTTGAGATGTTGGTACATCAGTTAGATTTTTTTTTAAATAATCGTATCATCTAATAATTTTTTCACTCCTGTCCAAATGTTTAGCATACCAAAACCACATTAAACTTCGGCAAGGTGGTTTATTACCGACTTTAATGGTATTTTTTCTTACCAAGTGTTGCGTTGTTTTTGGAAAGCAGGCGTGTTTAAGTGATTCTGATAAATAGGCATGAGTTCGCTTATTTAGTTTGCTTTTAAAGGAGAATCTTCTGAAGAAGGCAGATGGAAATATGCCAAACCGACTTTTATGCTAGTGTTGTCATGAACAATTCTATGTTGAAAGCAAAGTATGATGTAGGTATCCCACTGAAATGACACACACACACTGTATTGCATGCAATTTGGGTTTTTCAAGAATTGAGGCGTAACTAGAGCCTATTAAAGAATGTACAAAATGTGGTCCGGCTGTTTTATATCTACTATTTTAGCTTTACAGTGCTCACAGTTGAAAACGTTTCCAGGAATTATTTAACAAAAACTTAAGATTTGAAATCATGTTTACTTCGATATTGGGTAAATAATTAGCTACTCAATTCAAAAACACCAAAATATCAAAAGCTTTAGTGTACAAATGGAACTCATTACTGCTTCAAAAATGAAGACATATTTATTGATATTCTAACAGTATACTGAAATGAGGATCTCTGAAAACTGACTAGTCGTATAATTCATTTTCTTTCTTTCTTTTCTTAATATAATTATCTAAATTTGAAAAAAAAAGCGTTAATTCTTATTCTTGCTTTTTTACTTTCACAGTCGCCGTATGTTCCCTAAATAATCAGGCTTGTATCTTCGATCATGTAATTTATATATATTTTGTCAAGTCCGAAAATAAACTACATTTTAACACCAATTTCTTTTAATAAGAGTATTTTCGTACTTTATAGAATACTATAAGTTTAACAGAATCTCTACTATGTATCCCAACTGCTCGCTGTAGAAAGCAACGTTATAGAATCGATAAGAATTATTAGATAAATCAATCGAAGCTTCTTACTGTCAGGTACGGTTGAAGTTTGAGTGGAACGCTCCAGAAAAAAGCTATAAAGGGAAATAGGGGATGTCACGTTAAGTAACAGAACAATATAAAAAAACATTGATAGCAAAATTTCTTGTTGTAAGGTACTTCTCTTTATCGGTATTTAGGTCTTACAGACCTGGGAGGGTCAGGTACATTTGACCTCTTCATCTTTACTTCTAAATTTAAGATGTTTCTTAAACTCAAATATCCACTATAGATATTATGTAATGATATTTAGCCAACTGTAGATATAATTGCTTAGTTAAGATAGAAAGATAATGATGGCGTGAAAAGTATTAAAACAAATTACAAAATGCCAGGAATGGGTGGAGTCATGTTTCTTTTACTAAACTGAAATTAGCAATTGCATATATATACTTCTTTGTTTCCCTACCTTTTTGGTATGGTTACTGAAGACAGTATAAATCTTTTTTCGTTTTCTTTATGCACAGCTCGAACCGTTTTGCTATCATTCTGCCTAAATAATTCTATTATAAACAACATTTAACGATAAAGAAATTTAAGAACCCCAGTGTTATTGTCAGAATACTGTTATAAATCTAATCCTTAACTGTTGACCAATGAAATAATAATCTATTCAATTGAATCTGGAGTAATATGTTTATCGTATTATAACTTCAAGACACCGAGCCGTTGTAAAGCTGATGATAAGTATATTTTTAAAGACAGTTACTATCTGAAATATTTTCATGGTTCGACACCAGGTTCTACTTAAAAAATTAATAAAACGTTGCCCTTGTAACAAATGATACAGTAAAAACAGACATTTTAAAGGGATGTAAACGAGGTTGGGAAAACAACAAATAGATCAGAAAGAAAATTTCGAATTCAAATGTGTTAGTTACAAGAAATAAAGCTATAGTAAGATAAGATAGAAAGTTAGTCCAATTTAAGCTAACGCTATTGGCCAAGAATTTGGGTGCATGAGTGCTGCTTTCTTTCAGGTCTTCTATATTTTGATAAGTAACAACGAGTATTCATTTCTTTTTTCTCCAGAACAGGGTAAAAGCTTCCAAAGACATTTTAAGTGCTGATATTTATTAAACTTTAAGTAAACAGCATATGTATTTTGTAAACTATTAACAGATTTATAGCACAACTTAAATATCAACGATGAATGATATTAAATAAAATTAGCGCAGATATCCTTATTCTGTAAATTTTCTGATCATGTAACAGGTTTCGAACTATCGTAAACTAACAATGTGTCGTCCTTTTTAATGTAACGAACACGCTGAATTACGTTTTATAAATTCCAAATTTAAAAGTAGAATAAATTAAAAACATATTTATAGTTTAAACGTAGTCAAAAAATTCATGTTCTGATTTTATGAGCGGTACATGGTTATATATATGTATGTATATATGTGTATCATGCACTGTTTTCTACGGTATAATAGTGTCAAAACCTATTAT